CCATGCCATGACAGAAGGCCGTCAAGAATCTTCTTACGAGCAAACAGCTCAGACATTCATCAGCATCATCATAACCTTTGCTTTTGTCTTTGTAAGGAACAGTTTACAGTCCACTGCTTGATGGGTAGCAATACGAATTGTCATTTTGTGTGAATGTATAATGTCTTAAGTGCCTTCAGTCAGTCTTCTTCTTAAGCGCTTTCATATTAGATCTTTTAAATGGAATTTCCCAGTGTGGATTCTAGGGCCCTGTTATAGGGAAAACAAGAATAGACCCATTGCCCACCCAAAAGCATGTCGTAAAAGTCAGCTAACTGGGAGCTTTCTTTGAAGTCAGATTGCATCTGCCTGAGAGGCAAGGAACCAGCAGTCTGCATACAAATAAGTCAAATCTGTAAAACGGATGCACACGCAACACTCAGGTTCTGGAACAGGATTGCAGTCCAGAAGTGGATGAACAGCCAGAACTTTCCGCTAGAGTTTAGAGCTGGGGAATACAAAGAAGAAGAAATGTGTGGGTAGTTGTGGCTAAATCAAATGAGGTGGCCAAACTATTTGATCTTGTGCTTTTCGAAGAATTTGGTGAAGGTTGTTGTTCCCACAGTCTGTCTGACAGTTTCATTTCTCAGACAGTCAAGTTGGCAGCTTTTTTCAGGCAGTCTCATGGCAGCTTTTTTCAGGCAGTCTCATCTGACATGGGTTAATTTGACATAGGCTAGCCTTTAATAATGTCCAAGTTTGGCACTGGTGGCAGTGTCGATGTGAATCTTCTTCTCTTTTGTCTTACAGCTTACGCTGTGAAGCGTTGCTGAGAGGAGTTAAAGGTAGTTTTCCTCTTTTGTTAATTGTGTAGCTTGTATTATTGTTATATTGTGTTTCTGTAGTGTCTCTTATACTCCCTCCACCCATCTCTTTCTTGGTCTGCCTCTTGCCTTGTAGTCTGCTGGCTGATTTTTGTTCTATTCTGACCAGATGGCCAAACCATTTGATTTGGAATGAATGTGCTGTTTATAATCTGGTTTTTGTTAGTCTTATTTTGGATGACTGGATCAGGATGTTTATATACTGAATCATCACATGTGGTGGTGCACCAAGACCAGGTGCATGCTGGTCAAGACCTGCTCAAACCTCATCATGCTCATCCTAGAAGTATGTTCCATACCAAGAGGAGCCTGGTCAGCTTAGATAGGATCAACATTTCCTTTGAAGTAGGAGCACATCTGCCTCAGGAGTGAGGAACCAACAGTCTGCATACAAATAAGCCAAATCTGTAAAATGGATGTGCACTTAAAACTCATATTATGAACTAGTTCAAAGTCTGAAAGTGGATGAACAACCAGGACGTTCCACTGGAGTTTACAGTAGGTGATCGCAAAGAAGAATGATGAGCGAACATTAAACAAGAAAAACTTGCAGGTAACAACCCAGTGCTACAAGATACAAAGACAAAACAAGAAATGCATCATTAGAAAGTTGTAATTAAATATACAACATGTCATTGCTATATACAACACAATTAATAAAAATCAAATGCAACGAAATCCAAATTGTTTGAAGTGGGAAGCTTGATAAAATTAAAAGTATATACATACAAATGGCAACCTTGAACATAAAACTGCAACATGATAAATGAAAAAAAAGTAAAATATAAACAAATGTTAACCCAAAAGGGTTGGAAAGAATATGATCTTTCAAAATCCGTATATACAACAATATATACAGCAGTTGAGGTGTATTGACACAGCCTGTAGTCTCGGCAAAGCCAATAGCATGCACATGCATTAAATGCATAAGGCAACCATTAGAAGTGCCAATACAAACAGCCTGATATCAGAAATACAGTTCTTTGTCGATGGAAGCAGCAGTAGCAACAAATCAGCAGTTGCACACGCAATTAATTGCATAAAACACCACAGTTTCTGTGGCAAAAGACAGTTTGCCATTGTCTGCATCTGTAGTTTACAACACAAATAACATTGGGCAGTGTCAAAAAAGCATTCCAAATGTAAGCAGTTCAGAGTATCATGCTATGCATTCGGCTCAGTAGCTGGATGACGGCACTATATCCTTTCAGCCTACATATCAAGGAAAATGCAACAGCTTACTATTGTCAGAAGTAGAAACTTGCCACGACTAACAATTAAAAACAGTAAGAATGCCTATCCTCCATATTAACTGGAGTTGATGCAAGAAATGACGTCATAGCACTCAGGGCATTCCCATGCATGCTCCGTCCTCGTCTTCAGCAGCCAGCGCAGAGTTCCAATACTGATGGTACTGGTCACAATCTAGTTATATGTCAGTCTTGCCTTACGTCTGAGTGTAGAGAGCCGGCCAGATCCTCCGATTACTTTACACCCAGGTGCCTTATTCTCTCCACGCCATGATAATCTTCTTTCTCTACTGATTGTTCCAAAAAGACTTTGACCACATCTGCCTTGTCATGTATAAATTCACCACCCAGTGGTGCAGATCCAGCCAATCTGTCTGCCTGTTCATTACCCACCACGCCAGCATAGCTTGAAGAAAAAATCCAAAGTATGCTCCCTACCCGTGACCTTTCCAGTGAAACTTGCCACTCTACTCGTAGCATCTCCGTCTTCACCTTTCTCAGCATGTTTTCACTAGAAAACCTACTGGATGTGAAATGGTGATCGGGTTTGTTGGTAAATGTGATGGCTTATGTCACTTAACAAAAGCATGTAACGAAAATAGCTATGATGATGATTGTAGTGGTGTCAAGTTTTTCATGCCAGCGGCTAGGCGCTCCCCTGTGGATCGGAAGGTCGTGGGTTCGAGTCCAGATGGAGCCGAACTGTTTTCAAAAACGACCTTGGCTGTCAGGTCGACCCAGTCTTGAGTGGGTGCCAGGTATAGTCTGGAAAGTAAATTCGGCCGAAGTGATGCCGACCACATCATCCGACAGGTGCCGATTGGTCTGTAAGTTATAGGTCTAGCCCTATGTGCCTAATACACCTAAAAGTTGCGAGAAAGGGTCGTTTCTTTCAAGGGGACTGATATTCCGTGGCAGAATAATCCAGTAAGTGTAGACAAGAATGTGCAGTCAACTGACATACCCTAAGTCATTTGTATTTTACATTATCGTGGTAACCGAACGAGACTGAATGATTTCAGTAATGAAGATGATGGTGGCCAACGTAGCTGACACAAAGAAAACAGTGACATAGGGGACGGGAGCTAATCCTTATTAAAGTGCGTAATAATAATAATCTGCAGAATGGCACATAGATATAATAATAACATAACTGAAATAATATTCAGTGTAAGTAACTAATATATCGCAGACTGATTACAGCGATCCCTGATGTTGCAAATTTATGTTGTGAAAAACATTGTGTTTATCCCCGGCAATTCTTCTTGCTTGAACTATTATCTGGATAAGAGGAATTTCTTATCAGAAGAACCATTTCTTTTGTCCCAGGTGACCTCCTAATCAGGTTTGCATTGTACATAAAAATAGAACTTCTATTCATCGTTTCAAATACGTTTTGGTGCGGGGGGGGGGGGGAGGGTGCACCCGAGCCTAGGTTAAGGCGTTCCTTAAGCATGTACAATTATCTTGGAACTGTCTTACATCTGACGGAAGATGCTTACATCAATTAGGATAGGAACAGATGTAGCAAATTAGGGTACGGAGACAGTGGTCAGTGTTAACACCCATAAGTTGCTGGGTTTTTTATGTGGGGTGGATGAGTGTGCTCGAACAAGTCAAATAAAAATAGGTAGCAGATCATTGACGACTGGTTTGCCCACTGACTCGCCGATAGACGATTTCGTCACCGGTTTTTTTTTGTTTTTGGGGGGGGGGGGGCAGTATTTGGGTCTCTCTCCTCTGATCACATCAACACTGCAGGAGTGCTTTTAGTGGCGTGCAATGCTAGGCCATTTTATATGGCGCACTTAAACTTAACATAATTATAACCTAAAGCTTCCCCCTTAGGGGATGCTGGGTGAAAGTGACATTTTTTTTTTCCCACAAAGCACCTACCTACCTAAGTAGCAGATAATTTGACAATGTTCAGGAGATTGTCTAAGAAGAAACAAGGGCGAGAAATGGAAACAGGCCACGTTGGCCATTCCTAGATGGAAAACATTCTCACCAAATACAGTTCGTCATAGCAATGATGAAAAGAAAAGAGTGCTAAAGTGGTTTCCGGGGCTGTTACATGACGAGTTCTACAACCACGGCCTTAGGAGCGGCAAACAAGATATTAATGTTGAATTAAAAATCGACATCACAGCACTCGGAATACCTCCACAAGCGCTCCGTCCCCATCTTCAGCAGCAAGCGAAGAGTTAAAATTCTGATGGTACCAGTAACTGTCTGATTGTATGTCCGTCTCACCTTTCCCCTGAGTGTCGAGCGTCGGTCAGATCCCCTTGTAACTCCTCGCAGTGCCATTCTCCTCAGACCGCAATGCTCTATTTGTTCCTCGGCACTGTTCACTCGCTCCCGAAGGGCCCTCACAACATCCATCTTGTCGTACATCAGTTCACCACCAAGTGGTGCAGAACAGGCCAGTCTATCCGCCTGCTCATTTCCCAACACACCTGCATCCATGGAGAAAATATCCAAAGGACGCTAACTACACGGGACCTTTGAAGTGTTAAAAGATACTAGAGAAGCCGTCTTCTTCGCTTTGGCCGGCTGTAAACTTCGGCGGAAAAGTTTTGGTTGTTCGTCCACTTCTGGACTCTAGTATTAGAAAAGTTCTGATTTGTTAAGAAAGACTAAATCGTATTGTCTGTCTGTCGGTCTCTAAAGATGTAAGTAAGATTTATGTCAACTAGTGCTTTTATTGTTTTACTTACAGATAATTTCACAAAATATAGAAGCTTTCGTTTGAGCTACCCCAAACTGATTTCACGGACTGTCACACTGACGTCATTCCCTCTGAAAGCGTAATGCTGGATGTTTTGCCACCTATCGTGTAGTTACTCTCACCTTTTAGAAACCTCGATTGGTTTCCATGAAATTCCTAAATGCCCGATGTCCCAGAAATGGTGGAGGTCGTTGAAATCTTGGTGCTGACCGAACTTGAGCCGGAGACAGAGTTGTCCCTGGAGCTGGTCTGCAGACGGTCTCCCTTGGAACATCCGAGCATGTTCAGCAGCTCCACGCGAAATCTTCTCCCGGTTAGGCAATAGAGGACAAAGTTCAAGGATGAGTTGAAGACGATTCCAAGCTTGCCAAAAGCGAAAGATGCGGATACCATTTGCATATCAGCCTGTATTCAAGATGATACAATAGTCGTGATACACAAATGATTCATGCTAATATACTAGGTGGAATAAAATGTGTATTTCATCAAATATAAACTCAAAATCCAGAGAAGACTTTTATTTATTGCTTAAGGGGCAAATCAGCTGTATAGCAGCCTGCGCCATTTTCTTGTGAATTGATTTGTTTTTCTTTAACATTTAAAAAGAAAGTGCTGAAAATTTTTGTTAGACGGATAAACTCAGGGCTATATGAAAAAAAAAAAAAAAAAAAAAAAACACACACACACACATAAACATTTGATGGTACTAACCACGTCGTATTTAAAACATTTACCATGACTTACCATAAAGTGTCTATTAAAATAGTGCTAAAAATAAATGATGCCTAAAAAGTGGGGCCGGTACTATGCCCCGTGAATACCACCAGCGAAAAAGTCTTTGGAGACCTACTTTTAAGTAGAATCTGAACAATCACCATCCTCAAATACATTTCAACTTTTAAATTCCTTAGTCAGATTCGCAAATTTGTTTCAGACTGGGCAAAGTATGGTGTGGCCTGGTGCCAGAAAGCCACCACGGTAGTCATAACAGCCCACACTGGTCACCCACACTGGTCACCCCCGAAGCCACCTGGCCAGATGGGTTCTGGTGACGTTACCATAGGCCTAACAAACCGGCAACAGGGTAATTATCGCGGCAATGGAGTCATTATCGTTAAACAGAATATGCTGAGATATAAACACTTACATACAAAGACATTAGGTTTTAAAAAAAAAAAAAGTTTGCCTATTTAGAGATTAATGCCTCGTGACGCCATACCATACAAGAAATTCACCAACAGAGAAGAGGGTCGTGTGTGAGACTAAAAACAAGATGAAAAGATAACGTCTGAGAAACAGCAAGACGTATCTATTGTCCAGACGGCCAGAGAAAAAAAAAGTAAAACTTTATATCTCCCTAAACAGCTGAAGCAGTAGAAGAGACGGAAGAAGTTTCAGAACCTCTACACCGGAGCTATTCAACTAAGTTAACCCAGGGGTCACGAGGGTCCAGAGTCCCAGTATAGAAAGATCACTGACATTATCACAATACAGTTGGTAATGATCCGCGGGCCACTTACTAGCCCTTCGCTGGCCAGATTCGTTCCTTGGGCCGCCGGTTGAGTAGTCTGCTCTATAAATTACGAAGTCTGATAAAAGAATTACAATTTCAGGTTAGTCACCTTGCGATTTGTTAATACTTCTTCATAGAATCTTTAGCCACTGAAGACAGGCCTCATAAAATCTTCGGAAATTGAAGTTGCTAGGAAAGGGAAAGTTAAGTTCTTTTCTCTTTCTCCTCCCCCTTCTTCACTGCCTTCCCTCTTTTCTGCATGTTACTGATAAAGTGGAATTATGTCTGTTGTATCCCCGTGCATATCTCGAGTGGCTGCGAGTTCTGGGCTCCTTAAGGACGGAGATGGGTTTTTCTTCTGGCGTGGGCAAAAATACGAATCCTAATCTGAACAGTTCAAGGGGACAGGAATAGTCATACGGCCTTAAATGTTTAAGCTCACGACCACCATATCTTACACCGCTCTAAAAGTTGAACGCTTATTTCCTGTGCCTAGTGTGAATATTTAAAAGTCTATGGTTAAGCACCAGCAAGGAGATAAAAATTAGAATTTTGAGAGCATGCATCTTCCCTGTGGCTACATACGGATGTGAGTCGTGGACTATCTCTCAGTCCTTAAGAAAGATAATAGGGGCTTTTGATCTGAAATGCTATAGAAAGATTCTTAGAATATTTTGGACAAAGAAGATGAGAAATATTGACATCTTAAAAGATTTGAACATCAAGGAAGATTGGCTAATAAATGGCATCCTTTCTAGGAAGCTGAAATATTTTGGTCATATCAAGCTCCACGACGAATTGGAAAAAATTATAGCAGAAGGCATGGTACCAGGAAGGAGGGGCAGGAGCCGACCGACACGAAGATGGGCACAGGATATAAGTGACTCCTTGAGTGTGAAAGTTCATGAGGCGGGAGAACTGGCGAGAGACCGAGTTTCTTTCAGGCAGACTGTGATGAAAGCGACGTTCTGGAAAGGACCTGTGACCTTTGGACTTTCGCTCAATCTTTGAAGAGCAAAGCCACGGAGGGAAACATAGATTGCCATTTGCTGAGAAAAAGAAATTCATCGACATCCTAAAAGATCTGGACATAGTCAAGAAGTGGCTCAAAAGGAGCATTCTGTCCGAAATCCGGCGTATTTTGGCCTTGTCAAACGTCATTGTGGCCTGGACAGAATGGTGATGGAGGTTAGTTTCCGGAAAACGAGGCATAAGCAGACCTCCTCGAAGGTGGTTAGTTAAGTTGAGTCAAGAATTGACATAACAGCACTCGGAGCATTCCCATGCGTAGTCTGTCCTTATCTTCAGCACCCAGCGCAGAGTTCCAGTACTGATTGTACCGGTCACAATCTGGTTATATATCCATCTCGTCTCTTCTCTGAGTGTAGTGAGCCAGCCAGATTCTCTGGTTACACCCAGGTGCCTCATTCTCTCCAGGCCATAATAATCTTGTTTCTCTACTGATTCCGTTTCTTGTTCCCAAAGGGCCTTGATGAAGGTGGATAAGGACACTAAAAATGCATTGTATATGACCGCACTCAGGGCTTGAAAACTGGCCAGAGAAAATGAAACTTTCAGCTATGCCCTGACGAGAGCAACAGCCTGTAAAAAAAACTTGCTGATTGTCCACGAATATAAACATTGAAAACAGGACTCACCCATGGCGGTTTCTGCATTGCAAAGCATTGGATGATACACTGGAGACCAATGAAGAACAGGAAACTGAAACTGACAGCCAGAAGCAGACGTGTAATTTGATTTTCGGATTGCTTCGACTTCTTCATCGATTCCCTTGTTTTCTTGTTTTCCATGCGCTTGTTGGATTTATTTATCTGGATAAAAAATAAACAACATACATAAAGCTTGACCGGAAACCATTAAAACGGATGTATTCTGTCTACTTGTGTTGCTCACTATCCGCCAATTAAGTATACCCCTTAAGCCAGTGGTTCCCAGAATGTGCGCTGCGGCGCCCCGGGGAGCCGCGACCTCTTCACAGGGGCGCCGCGACCTCTTCACAGAGGCGAAGCGAAATATTCGAAGATAAGGTTAGTTGCGTATCCTTTACAGGACGTTGCAGAACCAGGCAAATTTACGTCCAATAGTTTACCATTGCCTCTGGACGGTCGGCTTTCTTGATAACACTGTCGAAACCAACGCAAGACGCATGGCCCGCAGCTTGGATATATTCGAAGATACACGCGTTTTTTTTAAAAATATTTTATTTACGAATAGTCATACTTTTACTTAGGTTAGGGCGCCATGGAAAAGTTTTAATTTAAAAAAGGCGCCGCGACTAAGACAAGTTTGGGAAACAATACCTTAAGTAATTTTGTTGTTGTTGCGTATACTTTACAGGACGCTGCAGAACCAACCTCAGTACTTTTTAGCTGTTGTATTTTTTAAAGACAAATTTACGTCCAATAGTTTGCCATTGCCTTCTGGGCAGTCAGCTTTTTGACACCCCCTGTCAAAACCAGTAAAAGGCAGCAGCTGGGATAGAACCCAGCACCCCGATATTACTAAGCGCGTTCGCAACGCCTAAGCAAAGACGACGACCTTAAGTGAATAGTTATTATCATCACAGTACTCCAGCCAGACCCCTAGGTGCTCGGAAAGCTCCACAAGCGTAAAACGAATGATAACAGATATTCTATGTTGATTAATCAAAGTTGTGCTCTTGGTGAAATGTTCATGTCTTGCAACTCCAGGTTGCACCCCTACGTCCATCAGCCTAGACAGGGATACCGAGTCTTGCCTTTTGCCGTGTTCATCTTTGCGGTAGGTGTTGCACATTAAAAACACCCCGTCAACTAAAGCGCGCCAAGTCGCGATATCTTTTGCTATCACGCGATTGGGCAGCAGTCGGCTTTGTGCTGATAGGGGCAACAATACCAATAACCGCAATACATACAATCGGAAACTATTTGAATGTTATCTCAGCACAGACTGCTTGACTCACTGTGGCGAATCAGCTTAACGCTGGCGTGCGGATTGGAAGGTTGTAGGTTCGCTCCCTGGCGGAACCGGATATTTTTCAAAAATGACCTTGACTCCCAGGTCGACCCAGCCTCGAGTGGGTACCGGGTGCAGTCCCCGGAAGTAAAGGCGGCCGGCGCGATGCTAACCACACCACCCATCTTGTGCCGATTGGTCTATAAAAATATAGGTCTAGTCCTAAATGCCGTATAAGCCCTAACCCCCCCCCCCCAATCCCCCCAATCCCACCTAAAAGATTTAGTTTAAAACAGAATATTTTGTCCCCAAGATTTACTTATTTTAATTAGTATTATTGCTGTTTGGAAATTTAGGTATAGTTAGAGCAATTTCCAGCAATTGTATCGAAGAATTGAAAATGATATGTTTTATTGTTGTTATATAGCCGGTGGGACCCAGCCTTGAGTGGGTACCAGGTACAGCTCTGGGAAGTAAAATCGGCCAGTGTGATGCTGACCTCATTACCCATCAACTGCCGCCTGGTCTATAAAATATAGGCCTAGCCCTATATGCCCAATACGCCTGAAGGTGTATTACTTTACTTTATTATTTTTATATGCTAACTGATGTATAAATGGAATACACTAATGTATGTAAGGAGTGATGCCAAAAGTTCAGAATGTAAGACAGGCCTGCGTGCCTAATTCCTAACCCTTTAAAAATAAAGTTTGTTCGTACGTTGGTTCTTTGGTTCAGCCTCACCTTGTTTATGATCATGATGTTCAAGCTCAGAACAGACACCCAAGGAATCAGGATCAAAATAATGCAATGGATCCAGAACTCGTAGAACTGCCCGCCCGAACCAGCTCCAAACTCCGTCATCTTGAAAGTTGGCTGAGGCTCGGTAGAGGGGCTGCTGCTACTGCTGCTGTTTCCGCCGCCGCCGCCGCCGTAGTCGGGGTAGACCACCGTGAAGCTGGCGAAGTGAGGCAGGTTAACGAGGAAGGAGTTGACGGCAATGAGGATCAGACCCACATTGGCTCGGGTCTCGCTGCAGAATTTCTGGAATGTGAAGGGTATGATGCTAGAGTGTTGTTTTATGTGACAGACAGAAAGATAAGCAAAAGGAGCAGACACACAGAGATACACGCATGCAAAACTATAGACTTACAAAAATATAAATGGGCAGACATACTGTATGGCAGATGAACAAATAGATCAGAACGTCCGAGAGACGGAAGGCAAGACAGACAGATAGTCTTACATTATTATCATACCTCTGTCTATATATGTAATAATAACCATACGTATATAATACACATGTGTACATACACACATTGACACACAAGCATAGACAGACAGACAGACAGACAGACAGACAGACAGACAGACAGACAGACAGACAGACAGACAGACAGACAGACAGACAGACAGACAGACAGACAGACAGACAGACAGACAGACAGACAGACAGACAGACAGACAGACAGACAGACAGACAGACAGACAGACAGACAGACAGACAGACAGACAGACAGACAGACAGACAGACAGACAGACAGACAGACAGACAGACAGACAGACAGACAGACAGACAGACAGACAGACAGACATACATACATACATACATACATACATACATACATACATACATACATACATACATACATACATACATACATACATACATACATACATACATATACATACATCTAATTAATAAAAAATGTTAACGCAGAGGGACTCAATTCTTGCACAAGAACGGGAATCCCCGTTGACCCAGTTGGCCTATGTATAGCTAAAGATGGCCGTGTTCACAACTTACGAATCGAGCACGTCCTAGCTGTGCGTCCTATTGTCGTTTAAATCTCAACACCTAGCGGCACAAAGCAGATATTGAACAAAAGAAAGAACAAGAGTTCCTCACATCAGGTTTTCGGGAGCCACCCTGGTGTAGCGGCTAGACGCTCGCCTGGCATGCAAAAGTCATGTGTCCATACATACATACATACATACATACATACATACATACATACATACATACATACATACATACATACATACATACATACATACATACATACATACATACATACATACATCCATCCATCCATCCATCCATCCATCCATCCATCCATCCATCCATCCATCCATCCATCCATCCATCCATCCATCCATCCATCCATCCATCCATCCATCCATCCATCCATCCATCCATACATACATACATACATACATACATACATACATACATACATACATACATACATACATACATACAGGCAGGCAGACGTACATACATACATACATACATACATACATACATACATACATACATACATACATACATACATACATACATACATACATACATACATACATACATACATACATACATACATACATACATACATACATACATACATACATACATACATACATACATACATACATACATACATACATACATACATACATACATACATACATACATACATACATACATACATACATACATACATACATACATACATACATACATACATACATACATACATACATACATACATACATACATACATACATACATACATACATACATACATACATACATACATACATACATACATACATACATACATACATACATACATACATACATACATACATACATACATACATACATACATACATACATACATACATACATACATACATACATACATACATACATACATACATACACGCACACACACACAAACATACACATACAAACACATACAAGTAGATTCAGAAAATGGCGCGATGCCTGTCGTGCAGTGTTGTGATGCCCGTATGTGATTAAAATTTATCGCGTGGGCAACTGCTGATCTGTTGGCGACTTCTGCTACCATCAATGATGAACTGCAATTCTAATACTGTGATAAACATTCTGTGTGTTTTTCGTTGGCACAGGAGCGGAGCAAAGATGGGGTGACCCGTTTGCTATGAAGCTGAAACTAAGACTACCAGACCAGATAGATATACATATACTGTAAAAAAAAAAAACAACGCATGGTTATCCAATAGCGCGTTTTTATTAGTTGACAGGAAAGCCTGTAGCCTAAAAACTTTCGAAGACCCTTATGGCTCGGCTACTCTGCGCAGAACGGTTAGCCGTCTGCCGAGAGCGTCGCCCGCATAAAATACAAACATCCGTAGCTGCAGAAACGATCCCAAGGATTCTCCTTAAAATTTACACGTGTGAGCTGAGCGACGTGCCGTGATACGAACCCACGACGTACAGAGGGCTAGGCAAACGGCTCGACCGCTCCGCCACGGAGACCTGCCACCCCTCCCTATAAGCTATAGGATTGTAGTTCTAAATACACAGCAGTGGAAAAGCCTGTTTGCAACAGTTCTAATCGTCTCTTGCACTTTACATTGCCAAAGAGAAAAATGTTCAACCATTTATTATTACTGTTCACTGTCTGTTGCACATACGCCAGTCGGTTTGTGTCTCAAGTATAGGGATAAAACGTTCGCTGCATGCTAACGCTGCTCCTGAAAAAGTTGTAACGTGTGAGAGCTATCAGTTATCAGTACTATAGTGCTAACTGGGGCGGCGTTAGCGCAGTCGATAAGAGACTCGCTTTCCAGTTGCGGGTCGCTGCAGCCCACGGCCGTTGTTCGAAACCGGGCGGTTGCTGGGTCCACTAGCCTCTAGGTTATGGGTAGCAGAGTTAACACTCTAGGGTAAACTAGAGGAACGTCACTGTAGCTCCGGAGTTGCGTGCGGATGGCGACACATGTGGACAGTTTCTTATCACCTGTCCGTACTGGTGGCAAGCACTTTTTGTTTATAACCGTGTGCAGTGACGCTGGTTCACATCTCCCGACTTTATCTTTATAGTGCTAACTGTACACGCTTAATCTCAACAGCGAAGCGACGAGGATGAAAATATCACATGGTGTCCTCTCCAATTGTAATCCCCAACCACTAACGCATTCACGTGCGAATGTATCATGCCTCGCCATGGCAATATCACGCCCGACTTTAGACAGGTCGTGCAACTGATCTGGTCACGTGACGTCCGCAGGCTGAAACACCTTCTACAGTCTGCTATGTATAGATAGACAAGGAGATGCATATCCACGAAGTTGGAACCTACCTTCGACTTGGTGATCCAGCAAACCATGATGTACCTGTCGATGGTCACGCCCACGGTAATCCAGATACTGACAACGATGGCCAGGAAGAAGCACGGGTAGCCGATGTAGGAGAAAAAGATGCCATAACACAGCGAGAATTTCAGGTTTGGGTTCCACTGCTGGGCGGAATCAACCACTAGAAACAGCAGCAGCACAGCAAAGTCAGCTACCGCCTGGAATATGTGTGAATTAATTTTGATTATGTATGTAAATAATATTTGATTTTTTATGCAATATGTTTGATTATTAATGTGATTTATTTTTGATTATATGTGTTAATTTTGTGTGAATTATGTTTGGTTATATGTAGCCCAAGTCAAACCATGTAAAAAAAAAAAAAATCAATAGTGGTAGTAGTTGTACATTTTACCCCGCTAGGACATCACACAAGCGATAAACACCCAATGACATAAAGTGCCACATGCGGATGAGGATCACCGTGGAGAGATCCCAGAAACCGCGTTCAGCCATTAGACCATATTTATGATCGGGCTATATTGCGGCCCCTGGCAAAGAGCCAGGGTGGGGCTGCAAAATAACGAAAAATTGCATCCCACAAGTGATTAGCTAGTTATTTAAAAATCAGTATGAAATAACGTTGGATTATATGTATGAATTATGTCAGATTATATTTGTGCATTGAGTTGGATTATATGTTTCTATCGGTCTCTGATAATGTTAGAGATGTGTGAATTATATTGGATGACACGTGCAAAATATATTAGATTTTACTACGCAAAATGCATGTCAATTATACTGGATGATTTAATTTTGAACAATAAAAACGTCAAAAAAAAAAAAAAAAAAAAAAAATTAATCGCGCTTGACCAATATATATATATATATATATATATACTCGTGTAAGGAATGGAACGAGCTAACTAAATATTTATGAATCAAACTGAAATGTCAACATTTATTCAGATTAACTATTCTGACTTGCATAATTTATGTTGGACGACTTAACTCTAAATAAACAAAAGGATTTAAAAAAAAAAAAATTCAAAATCATCCAGAGACTGAAGTGTGTGTGAATTATGCTTGATCATTTAACTCAGATTTAACATAAACATTTAAAAAAAAAAAAAAAAAAACAGCATCGAAATCAACCACAGAAAAATATATGTGACTGATTTTGGATTTATTGTTTGAAAAAAAAAAAAAAAACTATTTCTGCTCCTGCAAACATTATAAATTACATGCTGAGAAAGTGACATGTGGGTATTGTTGTTGTTGTTATTATGTAAAAGAGCACTCGTACTCCCTCCCAAATTCATACACGTTCTACTCTTAACGACCCAACATACACTCCACCACAAACCAGGCACACTCCACCACAAACCAGGCACACTCCACCCACACATACACTCCACCACAAGCCAGGCACACTCCCCCCAGACGTACACTCTACCATAAGCCAGGCACACTCCACCTCAAGCCAGGCACACTCCACCACAAGCCAGGCACACTTCCCCCCCCCCCCAGACGTACACTCTACCATAAGCCAGGCACACTCCACCTCAAGCCAGGCACACTCCACCACAAGCCAGGCACACTCCCCCCAGACGTACACTCTACCATAAGCCAGGCACACTCCACCTCAAGCCAGGCACACTCCACCACAAGCCAGGCACACTCCACCACAAGCCAGGCACACCCCCCCCCCCAGACGTACACTCTACCATAAGCCAGGCACACTCCACCTCAAGCCAGGCACACTCCACCACAAGCCAGGCACACACCCCCCAGACGTACACTCTACCATAAGCCAGGCACACTCCACCACAAGCCAGGCACACTCCACCACAAGCCAGGCACACTCCACCACAAGCCAGGCACACCCCCCCCCCCCAGACGTACACTCTACCATAAGCCAGGCACACTCCACCTCAAGCCAGGCACACTCCACCACAAGCCAGGCACACTCCACCACAAGCCAGGCACACCCCCCCCCCCCCAGACGTACACTCTACCATAAGCCAGGCACACTCCACCTCAAGCCAGGCACACTCCACCACAAGCCAGGCACACTCCCCCCAGACGTACACTCTACCATAAGCCAGGCACACTCCACCACAAGCCAGGCACACTCCACCACAAGCCAGGCACACTCCCCCCAGACGTACACTCTACCATAAGCCAGGCACACTCCACCACAAGCCAGGCACACTCCACCCGGACATACACACACAGCACCCAGGATTACCTGTCCGATAAGATATCGCCCTGTTGAGCTTCTCATCCCAGGTCGACACCAGGTAATGATGGACATCAAATTTCCGACCATCCCAAACAGGCAGATGATGGGCCCAACAATGGCGCTCATGACAAAATGTAGGTCGTCAGCCATTGTTCTTTCCTGGAGGGCCGCCGTGGAGTTCCGAACTAAGTCAAAGTTCAAACCAATGTCTCCCAAAGAAGATGACATCAGCTCTGGGGGTGTCGTCATGGCTGGCTTAGTTCGGTTGTGGTTTGTAAACTTCTCAGTGTTGGAATAGCGCCTTAGAGTGCCAGAAAGCACACGAGAACTTTACTTTGTTGGAGTCTCTTGACGACAATCGGAACCACCTGGATAAGAAAATGTTTTTATTAGCATTAGCAGGTAAGTATGTGCGGACAGCTGAACTAGAAAAGAAGATGCATGCATTGGAAATGAGATTTTGCAGAACAATTCTTAACACATCATAATGAGACCATATCACAAATGACCAGGTTCGCCAAATAATTACCTAGCACACTGGCATTTACGAATCTCTTTTAACAACAGTGAAAAGACTAGAAATGCAGTTGTACGAAAATGTAATAAGATCTGACGGCCTCTCAAAACTCGTGCACACTGGCTCTATAATCGTAGTTTCGAATCCAGATTTATGATAAATGAATTAAATGTTAAATTAACAATGGCTCCTAAATAACGAAACAAAACATACAAAGTGGTAATCGGGGAACGTTATCCCTGCATTATCGTTTTCTGCCTTATTTTTTTTAAATAACTTTCTAATTTAACTAAATATTGCACTTTTTGGTCTTTTTAATACTGTCACTTGTTAGTCCTACTAAACCTTGATGAATTCTTTTTTTTTTTTTTTTTTTTACTAAAGATTACTGCTTTCTCGTTCTACTTACAATTGTCACTTTCTTGTCAAAAAACACTCAATTTTTTTTGGCATACTAAAAATGTCCCCTCTGTTTTGTGAAAACAATTTTAATTTACTATCTTACTAAAATGTTCCCTTGTGAGCGACGTTATATGAGTTCTTCCGATGCATTTTCACTAAACATTGTGTCTGTAGACCGATTAGACATGTCTAGTTGTGAAATACTAGAACTGTAAAGCGCTAGTCAGCTGAAAACCGTTATTTTGGTATCTTACTAAAGAAAGACTGGTAGGTAATCAAGTAAACACACAGACAGGCAAATAGACAGTCCGGATAGACATGCATACATGTATATAGACAGACAGGCATGTAGACATACCGGATTGACAAACAGGCATATAGGTATATAGACAGGCGGGCATGTAGACAGATAAACTGACAGAGAGGCGGACAAACGGACTTATAGACAGAGAGACAGACCGACCGACCCACCGACCAACAGACAGACAGACAGACAGACAGACAGACAGATAGATAAATAGACAGATAGATAGATAGACAGATAGATAGATAGACAGATAGACAGACAGACAGACAGACAGACAGACAGACAGACAGACAGACAGACAGACAGACAGACAGACAGACAGACAGACAGACAGACAGACAGACAGACAGACAGACAGACAGACAGACAGACAGACAGACAGACAGACAGACAGACAGACAGACAGACAGACAGACAGATAGACAGACAGACAGACAGACAGATAGATAGATAGATAGATAGATAGATAGATAGATAGATAGATAGATAGATAGATAGACAGATAGATAGATAGATAGATAGATAGATAGATAGATAGATAGATAGATAGATAGATAGATAGATAGATAGATAGATAGATAGATAGATAGATAGATAGATAGATAGATAGATAGATAGATAGATAGACAGATAGATAGATAGATAGATAGATAGATAGATAGATAGATAGATAGATAGATAGATAGATAGATAGATAGATAGATAGATAGATAGATAGATAGATAGATAGATAGATAGATAGATAGATAGATAGATAGATAGATAGATAGATAGATAGATAGATAGATAGATAGATAGATAGATAGATAGATAGACATAGACAGATAGACAGATAGACAGATAGACAGATAGACAGATAGACAGATAGATAGATAGACAGATAGATAGATAGATAGATAGATAGATAGATAGATAGATAGATAGATAGATAGATAGATAGATAGATAGATAGATAGATAGATAGATAGATAGATAGATAGATAGATAGATAGATAGATAGATAGATAGATAGATAGATAGATAGATAGATAGATAGATAGATAGATAGATAGATAGATAGATAGATAGATAGATAGATAGATAGATAGATAGATAGATAGATAGATAGATAGATAGATAGATAGATAGAGAGGGAGACAGACAAGGGTTCCGGGCCCCATGTTGGGGTGTGCGTTGAATAGATCCACTGCCTCACTAATAAGCATGTCGTAAGAGTCGATTAATTAGGGGTTTCCTAAGCATATGCCTGAAAGGCAAGGAACCAACAGTTTGCAAGCAAACAAGCCAGATCTGTAAAACGGATGTGCGCGCATGACTTTAAGTTCTGGAACAAGAGAGTACAGAGGGGAGCCGTCGTGGTTTAGCGGCTAGACGCTCGCCTGCAGATCGGAAGATCGTGGGTTCAGGTCCTAACTGGGTCCGCATATTTTTTTTTTTAATGGTTTTGGCTCCCAGGTCGACCCAGCCTTGCGTGGGTACCAGGTACAGTCCTGTAAAGTAAAGGCGGCTGGCGTGATGCTGACCACATCACCCACCAAGTGCCGTTTGTTCTATAAAATATAGGTCTAGCCCTATACACCCAATACGCCTGAAGGTGTGGGAAAGGGTCTTTTACTTTAAACCAAAAAAATGCAGGTGCAGAAGTGGACAAACAACCAGAACTTCCCGCCGAAGTTGACAGCCGCTGAATATGAAGGAGAAGAAGATAAAGAGGTACGGACGAACTAAATATTCGGAAATAACCCACGGCAAATAGTAAAGCAAACATCCCTTTTCACGCCTTAGGCGCATCGGGCATATGGGAAGAGTATCCCATATTTTTACAGACCAATTGGCACAAGGTGGGTAATGTGGTCAGCATTACACCGGCCGGCTTTACTTCTCCAGGACAGCGATCCTGTTACCCATTCAAGGCTGGGTCGACCTGCGACGCTCCATACCATGATAAAAATCCACGCAGCCGGCAGTGGGTTTCGATCGCGGTACGTTGGAATTACAAGTCGGACTCGCAACGCCTCAGCCACGAACGCCGCACCCACGGCATATAAAATTGGAAAACGAAAGCTGGTAAACTCTCTGACATAGTCACACGTCCTTACCTCACAGTCAGCTGTCACTTAAGCATGGTATTTCTCAGACGAATAAAATATTCAAATGAATAAAAATAAACTATAGCCGGTTTTCACCGTCACTTTTACAGTAATTAAAGAATAACATGTCACAATTTACAACCTGTCCTCAGTCGCAGTGTCCGAAACTTCATTAAGAACATTAATTGTGTTGTCATCACTGTATTTATATACACACAGTTGGGATGATACTGGTAAAGTCTACAGGACGGAAGCAAGCACTTGTCTGAACTAGATCCCTCGTTTGTCACTTGATTGTTTTTACTTTATCACTATCATCATCCTGTTTTACCATAATGCGTCACATGGGGCTCGCAATTCAGTCCTCCAGTCCGTTCTATGAAACGATCTGAAAATCATGGAAATACCGTATATTTATTACCCCTGTCGACATGTGGAGGCATTCTGCTGAGATAAAATTGACACGGCTGCTTCGAGATAGCAGCTAAGTGATTTTGTGTATCTGTGTAGTATTATTTGATTTGTGTGTGCTTATGAAGGCTCCATAACCGCAACGTTCACGTTTTGTTTGTAATTGTTATATTGTGAAGCTTACTAATGTACTTTTCGTTCGGTTCTTTATCTTTTCTTGAAAATCAAAGAAGATTGGCTAATAAACAGCGTCTTGTCTTTGAACTATTTTGGTCATAACAAGCGCTATGGCGAATTAGAAAAATAGTAGCAGAAGGCATGGTACCAGGAAGGAGGGGCAGGGGCCGACCAACACGAAGATGGGCACAAATTATAAGTGACTCTTTGAGTATAAAAGTGCACGAGTCAGGAGAGCTTCTTTCAGGTAGACGATGATGAGAGCGACTTTCTGCAACGACCTGCTACATGATGATGATGATTATTTAGTTCTATGCAATCCTTCATATCATGGTAATAATAATATTAAAACAGTATTACTATTATTATTATTATTATTATTATTATTATCAATATAGGGAGCCGCCGTGGTGTAGTGGGAAGACGCTCGCCTGCGGATCGGAATGCCGTGGTTCAGGTCGTGACGGACTGAAAAAGAAAAGTGTTATACACTGGATTTTGTTGCTGAGGTGAGGGGAACTGAAAATAATAGGGTTTTTTTTCCCTTAGGGGGGGGGGGGGGGGGGGGGGTGGGCTTAAGAGGCCCAAGCCCGCAATTTCAGAGGGCCCCTAAAAAGGACGTTCACACTAAAGCCGCGGTGATTTAAAAAACAAAAATGTTCAAAGCATTTGCAGCAAGCTATTTTGTTTCTGACGCTCTCGGCAGGGGAGGTAATATGAGGCATGCGACACCACAACAAACACCCGGAAGTGACAGGTTTTTATCTTTATGGTACAGACCAGGGCTGCCAATAGGATTTTTTTGAAAAACCCAGATACGCTGAACTAAAACCCAAGCAATACAAAGGCAAAGAACAAAAAATCAAAATTTAAAAACCCAGATTGTTAAAAATACAAATGTTATATTTACGAAACGAAACATTTACCCCCTTTCATATAAGGATTAAAAAAAAAAAAAAACAGATTCCAAAATCTAAACCTAAGCCGTCAAAAAAAAAAAAAAAAACCCCAGATCTGGTGGGTAAAACCCATCATTAGCAGCCCTGGTACAGACTTGTTTTTAATGTTGTGGCCCTGGCTAATGATTGACAGAAGAAGGGAAATGAAGAGCAAAATTATCCTAATCTTGGCGCCAACACACACACAAACACAGAAACATTTAACGGGACTAAACCTAGTCTTAGTGCTCAATAATAATGCTTCTTCTTCTTCTTCTTGTTCACCGGCTGTGAATTCCGGCGGTAAGTCACGGTTGTTCGTCCAAAATGGACTTTTGGCTTTTACCTTGACCTGAGTTTTGCGTGTACACCCGTTTTACTGGCTTATTTGTTTGCAGTACTCGTTC